TTTTTTTTGAGTGTGGGTGTTAGTTTCTATATTTTCGAAGGTAATTAGAAAATATGTAAAGTACCGACCTTCCCTTGGAAATTTAATTTATAATCTTGTAACCGGAGTCTACTATCGCACCCTTTCCTCAAACGTGTATTAATTCAATATTCAAAAACCGTATGTTTATCTAATTGAAAAAAATCTCATTACCAGGCAACGGATTTTTAGGACCTAAAAACCTATAAAAAAGGCAAAACAAAGTAACGAAATAGGCTGGAAAAGGCAAAATAAAATAGCGAAAAAGGCAGGATAAGGCACTAGGTATTGCAAAAAAAGGCAAAAAAAGGCAAAACAAAATAGCGAAAAAGGCAGGAAAAGGCAAAAAAAAGGTATTGCCAAAAAAGCAAAATAAGGCCCTAAAAAACAGAAAATACGAAGAACAATCAAAAAATATATTTATTTTAGAAATTTTTATATTACAAGTAAAAAGAGAAAAACTATGAACTAGTTTCATTATATGAAAAATTTGTACTTTGACTCTTTGACTATTTTATCCTTTCGAGTTTCTAACTCATAATTCTTTAATCTGTATAGTTGTAGTAACATTGAACCACAAGATGCATTTTGAAGTTTTCTGGCAACATTTTCATTCTATTTTCGCGAAGAAAAGCCTTGGATGTACTAAATGAGCGCTCGACGTAAGTTGATACAAATGGAGCCCAATTTAAATATGGAACGTTTGAAACGTTCATATTATCAGGAATAAGGGCGTTTTCCTCGCCCTTTACAATTTTATACACACCCCTTATTGTCTTCAAGCCTACGTTAGCTGAGAAAACGGTTTTGAATTTTTCCAACACCAATTTGGCAAGAGGTCCCTGCGCTTCTATAAGCCGCATGGGCATGTGTATATTTTTTAATCTTAAAAAAAAATTGTAAATGCTATAATCACTTTTTTAAAGGTAGAAAAGGCAAAAAAAGGCAAATATCTTAAAAAGGGGAAAAAAGGCAAATATCTTAAAAAAGGCAAAAAAAGGCAACATCAAATGTGTATACATGGAATCAGGGAAAGCTAAATCGTGGACATTCTTAATCGAATATACTCTATCTCTTTAGCAGAAAAAAAGGCAATTTCCATAAAATCCGTTCCCTGCTCATTACTATACAAATATGTATGTATTTACTGCAGTATTAACTAATATTTAAAAATGTTGTGAGAGGGAAAAACAAAACAAAAATTCTTTTAAGGCGCAGCGAAGCACGCCGGGTATTTGCTGGTATTTTATAAAATTTAACGAGTGATATCTCATTTTGAAGGGGAGGAGCTCACGTACCTACGAAAAATAGTCACGTTGTTTAAATTTAGTTATTTATTAAAAAATAAGAGTTTTACAAAGCTTAAAGCACTGTATCCGGAAAATGCGGTGCCATATCTTCCATAATACTCCAAAAAATTTAATTATGAAAACATCATTTTGAAGGAAAGCATCACCGGTTGAGGTAAAAAATAAAAAATTTTAATAGGGTTTCCACGCTTAAAATTTTATTGACTTAGAGTAAAATATTCCAAGGTATTCAGCAATGAAAGGCATTTAAATGCACTGCCAACCAGAAGTAATAATTTTGAAGAGGGTTGCCAACTGTTTAAAAATTTAAATCTCTATATAAATGTACGTACAAGCTTATACCCTCGGGTTTCACCCCACGTTTTTATACAAATATGAAAAATAATTTAATGATGTTATATTATATTTCTGTGCCCATTTTGTTATAGCTCTACATTTTTAAAAGGAGCTAAGGTATTTAGGCCGTTTAAAACTATGAAATTATAAAATCTCGTCTGCACGATAGGCATACGAGAGATATCAATCCCTCTAAGTCTACCTTAAAATGGTTCCAGGGATACGCCGCGTGAACGTAACTAATGGATTAGCTGGAATGAAATTATCTGGATCACCTAATAAATATGGATGGTTAATGTTACAATAATTAGACTTATAATTATTACAATAAATCCTATAATATCCTTATAAGAAAAATAAGGATGAAATGGAATTTTATCAATATTAGAATTTAGTCCAATTGGATTATTTGAACTTGTTTGATGAAGGAATTATAAATGGATTAAAGTTATGGCTAATACAATAAAAGGTAAAATAAAATGAAATGTAAAAAATCGTGTTAATGTTGCATTATCAACTGCAAATCCTCCTCAAATTCATTGAATTTGTAATAACTGTTGCCCCTCAAAAAGATATTTGTCCTCATGGTAATACATATCCTATGAAGGCTGTTGCTATAACTAAAAATAAAATTAATACTCCTACTAATAATGTTGGAGTAAATAGATATGATCCATAGTAGATACCTCGATCTACATGTAAATAAATACAAATAAAGAAAAAGGATGCACCGTTGGCGTAAAGTTCGTAATAATCAGCCATAATTTACATCTCGACAGATATGATTAACACTATTAAATGCTAAATTAATATTTGCTTTATAATGTATAGCTAAAAATAATCCTGTTAAAATTTGAATTATTAAACATAATCCAAGAAGTGATCCAAAATTTCATCAAGCTGAAATATTAATTGGAGCAGGTAAATCTACTAATGCATTATTAGCAATTTTAAATAAAGGGTGCTGGGTTCGTAAAGGTTTATTCATTAGTTTATTAATCGTAAATGTCCATAGAATAATTTTGTTACTTTTACTACTGCAATTAATGTAATTAATAAATAATTTATTAATAAAATTATAATTAAATTTGTTTGGATAATTATATAATTTATTAAGATTTAATGAATTTTCTTCTATAAATAAATTAATATTATTTATGAATGTTATTTCATTATTTTCTAGAGGGGTTGAAAGTAATGATTTATCTAATAATAATCTTAAAATTATAAATAAAATAAAAATTTTTATACAAATAGTTGTTAATTTTATTGAAAATGAAAACATTTCATTTGAAGCTAGGGATATAACATAAATAAATAAAACAAGTATTCCTCCAAGAAAAATTAAAAATAAAATATAAGAAAATCAAAATCTTTTAGCTATTAATCCTGTTATTAAACAAATTTTTAAGGTTTGAATTAATAATATTACTCCTATAGCTAAAGGATGATTTATTTGTATAAAAATAAATCTTGAAATTAAAGTTGATCTATAAAAAATTAATTGTATATCAGGAGGTAGTTTATATAAAATATTAATTTTGGGGATTAATGAAAAACTAATTACTTTTCTCTTGAAGTTTTAAAAGATAAAATGTTATTTTTGATTTAAAAGACCAATGTTTTTACTAAACTATTAAAACTAATGTTAATAATATCTTATTGAGGATGACCTTGTTTTTTATTTTTAATTGGAATTTTTATATTTGTTTCTAATCGAAAGCATTTATTATCAATATTTTTAAGATTAGAATATATTGTATTAAATTTATTTTTTTCAGAAGATTTTTTAGTATAATATTTTTAACTTTTAGAGTTTGTGAGGTTGCATTAGGTCTTTCAATTCTTGTTTCAATAATTCGTACTCATGGTTATGATTATTTTCAATCATTTAATATTTTACAACGTTAAAATTAATTTTTATACTAATTTTTATTAGTCCAATTTGTTTTTTTAATAGTTCATTTTGAATGGTTCAAAATTTAATGTTTTTGGATACATTTTTATTTATTATAATAAATTATTGTACTAATTATTTTGTAAATATTTCTTATTTTTTGGATTAATATTATTAAGGATTTAAATTAAAGAATTATTAGGAATTTATTTTTATACCCGAGCGCACTTGTGCACTTTGTTCACATAACGGTTGTTTGTAACAGGTAAAACGAATCTAGATAGATATAGACAAATGTATACATAAATGATCAGGATGAAAAGAGAAATCGATTAAGCGGGACTGTCTGTCCGTCCGTCCGTCCGTCTGTGCACACGATAACTCGAGTAAAACTTGAGATATATTAACGAAACTTGGTATGTGCACTTGCCTCAGGCGTAGGACGGATGGTATTGAAAATGGACAAAATCGGACAATAACCACGCCTACCTCCCATATAACGGTAATTTTCCGAAATTCGAAAACTG